AGGGTGTTTCGGAGACTCCCGTCATTCCGAAACAAGGGTGAGATCTACCAAAGAAGTCTTCAGCCCAGCCAACCGCTGTAGTCAAGCCAAATGTTAAAAGCGAATATGTGCCTAAAGGCATAGAAAAGCTTTCTCTCTGATGACCTTATTATTGACAATAGTGAAGATGAAGAGCTTGATGAAGTCGAACTCAAAAAGCGAAAAGAACGTGAAGCTGAATTGGATGACCAACAAAAGAATTGTTCGTGAGGCTGAACAGAAAGAAAAAAACATAGAAAGAAGCTCAGGTCACACTTGAAAGCAGAAAACTCCTATATCCTGATTGGACGCTAAAGCGAATTCAGAATGAAGTTGTGGACTTACCAAGTCAATATTGGTTAGAACCAGTTGTGTCGTTCCAGCTTCAGAACACACAAGATTCGCAATTGGATCTTCTAATAACTCCTAAGGCCTTCAAGTTTTGCTCTTTTGTAAAGGTTGTGAACGTCCCATCTACTGACAGTGGAGTTGGCCATCTCCTCTTCTCATTCTATCTCAAGCACATGAAGCCACAGTATGAAACGTGGAGTGCGAGCAAGATAACGGCAGTAAAGGTTATTGGACCAATTGAGACTGACAGTTTTCCAAATGCAAAATTCAAAGTTGTCAGAGGGTCTGCGAGTCAAGTTCATGAATTCACACTCGCAGGCCTGCCTTGTTTCAACCCATACGACTGGATCATGCTCTAAAACTTGTTGTTGAGAGATGAACACAAGTACGAGCCTGTTATCCAACATCTCAAACTGATGATAACTTCCTATATTCAAGAGGTCGGTCATACGGATGTGGAGGTAGTTGTTGTACTGTGAAGGAAACCGTCTGTTCTTCCTAAAGAATCCCCTGAAGGTTTCGCGAAGTGGAAGATTGGAAATATTCACAAAGACGGATGGTATGTGGTGTTTCAGGCCAGAGAACGATGTAATGCAGACTTTCGCAAGACCTGTTTCTCCCTCCCAGATAAACATCTATACAGCACTTCCTGTCTTGAGTTCATTTTGGATCTGGTCACCAAATTCAAGGGCAACAGCAAAGGAGATATAAAATGCTTCTCATACATGATTCAATGGTACATCCAAATTCGCAAGACCTTGTTGAATGTTATTCCTAAGGTTTACGAAGTGCAGAAGCGAACTTAGCATTGAAGGACTCTCGCTCAATTGACGCAAAGGGGGAGATTGTTAGGTATAATGTGTTGCGTCATTGGGCCTTTTGTATAGTGTGTTTTGTAAATGGGTTGGGCCTGCCCTCCCGTATTTATTTACTAGGGTTAGAGTATTCAAGATGTATGCATGCATCGTATTTTGGTAACTTTGATAATTACTTTGTAACCCTAATCACGCTTCTACAGTAGCAATTCTTTGTCGAGTTCTTCTGAGGCGTGACCTTTTAATCATTCAACATATTTTGGATCATCGTTGTGTTCTTGTTATTTATCTATTTGAATCTAAATGATCTTTCAAGGATTTTCATCCCAAGAAAGGTGATATCAACATAAATATCAACATCTCTTCTTGTTTCTATGTCTACAACCTCAACCACAATGACTTCGAAGCCATTAACCAAAGGCATAGTCATTTGTTCTACTGCTGGGGGTGGTTCGAGTTCAAAGCCACCACCTTCGAATCAAGTTAAAGGTGATAGAGGGAAGGGTATTGTGAAGGAGATGTCAGGGAGGAAAAAAAAGAAGAATATTGAGAAAAAAATCGAAAGACAAATACAGATAAACAACATCTTGAGACAAAGGCAAGGTGATCCACCAGGTCTTGAGAAAGGAGATCCAAGCAAGCAATATTGTTATGAAACAATTGAACAGATTGTTTCACTTGGGAATATGCATGATTTTGAGAAAATTATGAAGAAGAGTTATGAGATGGAGAATTCAGACTTCAACCAGCTGGATTTTCCCATCAATCACATGATGTTTATCTCAGCTCAATAACAATTGGTGGATAGGTTTGAAGATAAAGAGGAATATAAGAAGTTAAAGTTGAGATCTCATGCAGTCCTTGGAAAGAAGCAAGAGGAAGTCTGGTCCGTGGTAAAAATTGTTAAAGTTCTGAGTGTTTCCAAGCATAAGTTGTTCGAAGGGTTGTTACATAACTTTCGTTATCATGTGGTTCGAGCTAATAACGTTGCATGTGACTTCTTGGTGGCAGATTTTCCTCTGATGAATCTCAATGATCTCATCTGTGTTGCGAAGATCTTGAGTAGTGTTGATGTGTTAAAACTTCAAGTTAATAGCAAACAAGATTTCTTAATAGGTTTTGCTCATATCAAGTTGTTCATAGACAATTACTATGATTGTCTAGTAGTGACTGATGTGGAGCTTGCTTTAGTAATGGGAAGACAAGTAACAGCGCCCTAATTATTACTGAAAGGTCAAGGAAACCTGAAGGATTTCAAAGATGGAGAGATTTGTGTTAAGCCTCTGGGAGTTGTATTTGTTGGGAAGAACAAGAATCAAAAGATTACAAAGTTTTTGTTCAAAGTTGAAGATGTGGAGAGATATACGAACACATAGTACACGAGTCTACTTGTTCGTCTTAATAACTGCAAAAGGAATACAGCTGGTGATAAGGCTGAGGGTCGAAAGACGATCATATGGTACACAGAGATTCGAAGAGTACTTCATCAAGCAACGAAGATGCTAATGACATAAGATTCGACACTTCTCACAAAGGGGGAGAATTTAGAGTTCAAAATATGTTGTGAGATGTCGAAGCGTTTTTTGTCATGTTTAGTGTCAAAGTCTGTTTTCATGTATTCGTTGTATGTATTTCATAAGGGCATTTTAGAGTTTGAAGCTTGAGTGTCTTAGCCCTTATGTATTTTTTGTGCTTCTGTTAACTCCTATAAATAGGGGTAAGTATATGTGCTAGAGTAATTTTTGGTGAAATGTAAGAACACTTTACTCTTTATTGACGTGTACTCTTTCAGAAGCAATAAAGAGCCAAACAGATTATATTTACGTTTTGGTTCTTGATTCAATTCATACTCTGATTTTATTCTTAACACATATGTATAAAAATGACGAAATCTTGAAAATTTTATAGCAACCTACTTAGTAAACTAACCAAAACATGGAAGGTAACAACAATTGTAGTGATCAAGGCACATATATTGATAACTTACCAATCATACCATGTAGTTTACAAAGCTTCCCAAATGTCAATGTTAGTTAACATCCCAAAAAGGGGAATGTACTTTACAAAGCTTCCCACAAACCACTATCGTACCATGTAACCTAATTAGAACCAAACTTACGATTCTACCAAACACTATGGACATGAATTGGAAGCTTGTTACTGATATTGCCATATTTTTACATATTTTTAGGCAATATTTAAATATATTTTGACTAATAATTTGGTTATTTGCATAGACAAATGATACTTATAAGGGTAAATTACATTTTGTAGCCAAAAGAAGTCATTTTGAAGAATAAGGACTGAAAGTGATAGGAACCGGAACTTTGGAGGTTAAAAGCTTAAGAGATGAAAAATTCAGGAAAAAGGCGTACTCACAACATGAGAAACAAAGGCTCACGACGTGAGCATGGATATTCTAGAAGATAGACATCCAGAAGCAAAAGAATTTGTGTTGGATACGGATGCATTCGAACTCACGACGTGAGCTTCCTTGCTCACGACGTGAGGAGGGGAAAATCAAAAACTATAAATATCCTTGATCCTCACGATTTTAGGAAGTTGGCTAGTGAGAAAAGAGTTACCATAAGTCGATTTTCAAAGGTTTAGAAGCATAGAAACCTGGTAATAGCACCAAGGAAGAAGGAGAAGATCATAATTTACTTTCTAGTTTGGTACTTTACTATACTTTCAATTATGAATTGTTTTAGTTTGATCTTTAGTATGAGTAGCTAAATCTAGTTGCTTATGTTAGCCAGATGAAGCTGGAAATCATGGTTTGTTTATATTAATTGAGATTTTTCTAGTTGGTTAATGACGTGTGTTTGATTGTTTATACCTAGCATGCTTAATTTGATACTAGATTGCTTAAACTCATATTTTGTGTAGCTTAGTGACCAATAATCTGCATGAATTTGATTACCTAGTAATTTAGTGAACAGTAGATTATTAGAGCTAAGATTGAACCAATCTTAGATAAGTAATTGAAGTATTGAATTTGCCTGTGCTGGAGAACTCATATTATGAACATAATTGTGTTTGTTAACTCAATCTTACATAGCTCCAATTCTACTTAATAGTTAATTATGTGTTAAATTATGTGTGACTATGCATAGATCTACATGAATTAATTCAACATTAGTTAATTTGAAATTGAATTGCTAATAATACATTAATTGGTAACCAACGAGAATTGTCATAATTAATAGTCAAACCATTGAGGGAAAGTGGATTCAAACTAAAAGAAGTGTTCTTATTACTTGATTGAATTGTGTTTGAGAATTTAAGTTTGTCTAAACTTGCAAAATTAGATAAAAACCATTACTTTGCTAGAATTTTAGGTTAATTTAATAGTAAGTAGGTTAACTAATTAATACTGTTCCCTGTGTTCGATACCTGACTTACCCAAAGCTATAGTATAATCTGACTAGGTACACTGCCTAGGTGCATTTTAGCTAGTTAAGTGCTTTAGGTTATAAATTTAAAACTAGTGGGTAATTTTTAGCACATCAGTTACCAAAAGACAAATGTACCAAAAGTAGATGTTTACAAAAAGGGCAACCTCTTTACTAATGCCCATTCAACCCTTAAACACAACTTCTTAATCTAAAATCCAAGGGGTTTTGGTAGAACCACCACCATCGGCATCTTGGACCATTTTCCTGAGCTTCAGTTTCCTAATTCTTTCAGAGGGAGTTCTCTTTTTCTCCCAATGGATATTGTAAGAACCAGGACCCAATGGTACTACTCTTGCTCCAACCTCTCTCTCTCTCTCTCTCTCTCTCTCTCTCTCTCTCTCTCTCTCTCTTCAACTTCTTATTCCTCAGCCTCTCCTTCTTCAACTTCTCCTTCCTTAGCCTCTCCTTCTTCAACTTCTCCATCCTTGACCTTTCTTTCATCAACATCTATTTCCTTAACTTCTCCATAAACCTACAATATAGCAGTCTAGTTAGTAAATATACAATATTAAAGCCAAAAAATAATGTAACAACACGTACCTCTTTCATAGCATCCACTGCATCAACATGTGTATATCCAGACTGTACCAACTCCTTTAAAGTTAGTCTTTCATTCACCTTCACCTTATTTTCATTCTCTTATTCCTGAACATCCTCATTTGCTTGACGCATAGGTTGCTTACCATTAGGTGTATGGGTGAAAAGATCATCAAAATCCTCATCACGGGTTAGCGACACATCCTCCTTTTCTTGACTCTTATGTTGCTTACCATTAGGTGTTTTCTTTGGTGTTTTTTCCTTGATGCAGAAACTGTAGTTTTCCCTCCTCTCCTTGCCATCATCTTAGTCCTTTTCATAGGAGTAACAACAGGACCACCATCTTGATCACCAGATTCAGAAACTGGAGGAGCACCATCTTGATCACCAGATTATGAAACAGGAGGAGCAACACCCCTTCTTGGTCTAGCAGGCCCAACTAGAGGGAATTAGTCAAAGATAGGTAGGCCGCCCCCAACTTTCCTAGGTCTTCCAATCTTCCTTTTTGGGACAGTGGGCTTAGGTACCTCATCATTTGTTCATGAAATCTTATTATACCCAAGCTGTTGGAACTTGTTCACACCTCACAGTCTTAGGAACCTTTAACCTTTGTGAGGGGTATTTGGCATCTTGTGATTCAAATGCATGCTTTACTCTCTTTAGTTTGGGTCTTCCAGGCATCCTTCTAACTAGGGGTGGTAATGGTTTAATAAACTCAGTCCTTGGCCAAAAGTTGCTTCCACCTACAGGTTACATGTTCTGACTATATGTTGCAACATATTTGTCCTTGTGGAACCAGGAAGAAAGGAATTGAATTGGATCTTTGTGGATATAGTTGATTGCACTTGACTATGAACATATGGTATGCCAGACAACATCCACAAGTTGCAGGTGCAAGTGTCAGTAGCTAAATCAACCTTTTATCCATTGTAGCCATACCTTGTCTCAAACACATCACCACCACTTGGCACCACTGTCTACAACCTACGCAGAAAACAAACAAATTACACACATAAATAATCAATACATAATACATTTGGATACATGCCCATAAAAACTAACATTACCTCATATCTTTGCCAAATTCATCAATCTTCAGTTGTATGTTAGGCCAACAATTACCCCTCCATTTGGATACCTCTTGACCTTGACGATAAAACCTTTTCATAAGGAGAATCCTTATTTCCTCAAGCATTGTAAGTAGAGGTTTCTTCCTTATTTCTTTGATCATGCCATTGAAACATTCTGCGACCCAATTCTCTACTGCTTCACAAGCATTGTAAGTAGAGGTTTCTTCCTTATTTCTCTGTTCCTTGTCTAGTTGTGGTCCTAGGGTAGAGTCTATTATTTTACAGTCTATTAGATCATGTTATGTGTATAATTTTCATGCATAAGGAAGCCGACAGTGAGGATGGATGGATGTGGATAGCGCGATTTGCGATATATGGGCTGAATGCTCTATGATAGTCCTTTGGATCATGAATGATGCTTGCTTTGTGCTTTGTGGAACTCTTGAGTGATGGGAATCAGCTACTAAGTGGATATGACGATATCCAGGAGGTGGATGGCTGGCATCATGGGGAGTTCTTCAGTAGCTGATGGCAGGGCGAGGTTGGGAACCTAGGAAAGCCTAGGATATGCTCCAATGAGTTTAGTGGGGCGATTCGTTGAGGTTGGGAACCTAGGAGTTGATTTGGTGGGTATTGTGTTGCTGTTTAGCGGCTATTTGGTGCACCAGTGGAGTAGGTGACTTAGAGGATTCGGGAGGATTGCTGAGGAAAGTATGGATAGGTGTGGAAGGTAGTATGGGCCCGTACTACTGAAAGCACAGGATCTATACTCGAATCAGTGAGAGTCTTGGAGAATCTAAGAAGCTTAAGGGAAGGAGAAATATTGGTTATGCTCTGATAGTGGGGATAGTTTCCTTGCCAGACGAGGATGAGCACACATGAGGAAGGACCAGGGTTTAGTCCCGGCTACGGTGATGATCCAGTTAGCGGAAGGATAGCCAGGATTTTGAGTTCGCCTTAGATCTCTTGTATCAGGCGGCAAGGATTGGTTGTGCGATTTATTGCGCGTTCCGGATTAGAGACTATGTCTTGGAAGTGGTTTGTAGCTGGTTTAGGGCAGAGGTTGCTTCAACTACTGTAGTTCAGCCATGGACAGTTGAGCTGGTGAGTGTGTCAGGGTGCGAGATCTTGAATGATATGGGTCCCAAAGCCCAAGGGCGGAAGATTGCTTAGGAGTACCTCAATGAGAGAGGTTCAGGTCAGGTGAATTTAGTGGAGGACCTCGGGCGGAGACCCAAGAGTTCGGATCAGCTTTTGAGAGACCCGCAGGGTTGGATCCAGTGCAACGCTCGTGGAAACTGTGCAATGGAGTTTCGTTTCAGGGGTTTGGATTGCCATTAGGATCGGAAAGAAGTGTTACACCATGTCCTCAGTATGGTCGAGGTAACATAGGAGGAGATGGTTAGGATTCCTTCAAATGTTGTGGATATGCTACCTTCTGCCACTTCAGGTGAATATAGGGAATGTGCATCGCTTTGGATTTATGATAAGTTAGATCTCAGGTCGTTTCTTCGCTATTGTCTGAGTTAGCAAGGGTTGTCAGATGCCATTCAGCATGCCGAGGAATCTTTGAGAAATCTTCAGGCGGATGTACCTCGCGGAGCGGATCCCGCATGTACCGTTATTGTTCCGAATCCTTGTCGGAATCTGTTCAGGGGTCTGGATTGATATAGGTGTAGCAGGGTGGGTTACGTCAGCAGGGATTGCCCACAAGCGGAAAGCCCGTTATATTCTCATTATGATCAGGTGGGCGACAAGGAGGTAGATTGTCCGAGGATTAGAGAGGAGTAGTGAGTGCACCTGCTCCAGATATTTTGAGGATCACCGACGGATGAGAGGGTAAGGCAGGATCCCCAACAGAGAGGGGCCACACTTCGTAGTACTAGATAGGGAGATCATAACTTTAACAGGCGAGCGTGCGGGGTACGTACCCTTTTCGCCATCCTTCCAACTTTACCTGGATTTGTGGAGGTTATCTTGCATCAGCGTGACGTAAGCGCATCGGGAGGTTGTCATATCTGTTTGTGGTCAAGGGTATTGTATTCAAGAAGGGTTATATGCCATCTGCATACCATGAATCTGTCACACCCCCAAACCAGAACAGCGGAAACGTTCGGGGGCGGATGACGTCATGCTCAGTATCATAACCATAGTGAAGAAAGTAAAACACAACCATCATAGATATAATTCATTGTTTCCAAAATACATGTTCCAAAAATACATGTCTCCAACTAAATTACATATAATGATAAAATGTAGCAAAAGAATCTACGCCTTAGCGTCTTGACTTCAGAAATCTTGCGATTACCTGTATTACTGATTACCTGAGAATACAAGTTGTTTTTGAAAAGAGAGTATCAGCATAAAGCTGGTGAGTTCATAAGTATTTTATAAAAAAAATGAATGTTGTTTCCTTAACGTTTGTTACAAGTTTGTTTCCAGAAAATCCAATATTTTCTAAAAGATTTGTTGTAAACTGAATTGAAACAAGGCTTAGTATGTGTAAGTAAATCGGCATACTTATGTGTGTGTTTTATATTTAAATAAAACTCATTTGTATAAAGCCTTAGAATTTCCCTGAACTGTATGATGTGTTAATATTCCATGCGAGATGTTATAATCATACTAAAGACTAGATGGCCTTGAATGCGACGTTCTTCAGGCGTCGGAAAGTTATGACACTTGTCACCACAGACCTGCCGGTCTAGCTGTTGCAAGCAGCTCAGGTGCGGGTTTGTCAGACCCAGTATAGATCTATACACAACTATCACGTTCTCCCTCCCCCCCCCCCCCCCCCCCCGTGAAAACTGAAGAAAACTAGAAAATGAAGGGGTATGAACTCACCTTGAGTGATGACTTGAAGAGTGGAAGGTTGAAGTTAAGGAATATCAAGTCAAGAGCACTTGATGAACACGGGAAGACTTGGATGATCCTAAGAACGATTTTAGGTGTTAAGATATGAGTCAATGATCCAAGAGTGTTATGAAATTATGGAATAACACTTGAGTTTTGATGGAATACTTACCAAAAAGTGCAGTAGCAACTCAAGAACACTTACACAACGTGGTGGGAAGTAGAGAGAAAAAGAGGCTCCCTTGAAGGTTTGAGAAGTGTGTAAGTATTTGAAATGAGCAAGTAAGCCAAGAAATGCTCTAGGGATCTCTATATATATTGAAGGTTGCTGGAGCAACTTGTGAGTTTGAAGTGATGTGTGCCTTGGTTTGTGTGATGTGGATAAGGTTGGCTAATGAGAGGATGACACATGGAGGCAAGTGGGCACACTTGACCCACTTGTGGGGTAGAATACTCCTCTTATTATAAAATAATGATTTTTAATTAAAAATCCTTGAAAAATAAATAAAATATGAGTTTTGGGGGTTAAAAATGGTAAAAATATGAATTTGGTGAAAAAATCCCGTCAAAGACGGGCTTAGGAGGCGAAAGTAGTCGAAAACCGGCATTAGGGACCGAACCTGCGAGGTTCGACTCTTAGGAGTGTGAGAACTGAGAGGAGGGGAGAAGGAACCGAGAGAAGGAGGAAGGGGCCGAAGGTGCGAGGCTTCTCGGATGGGGGCCGAAGTTCGGTCCTCGTTGCTGGCTTCGGTCCGAGAAGGCTTCTGACAATTTCGCTTCTGACATGTTCGGCTCCTAAGAGGTTCGGCTCCTAGGAGGGGTTTCGGCCCTATTTAGCTGTTTTTCGACATAACTCCCCGTTTCAAGCGGTTTTGGCCAAATTAAGGGTCGGGATGACTATAAAAAGTTGAGAGAGATTTTGAGAGAGATTTGGGAGAGATTTCACATACTTGGAGAGATTTCACATACTTAGAGAGATTTGGGAGAGATTTCACATACTTGGAGAGATTTGGGAGAGATTTCACATTCTTGGAGAGATTTGGGAGAGATTTCACATACTTGGAGAGATTTAGGAGAGATTTCACATACTTGGAGAGGTTTGGGAGAGATTTCACATACTTGGAGAGATTTCACATTCTTGGAGAGATTTGGGAGAGATTTCACATACTTGGAGAGATTTGGGAGAGATTTCACATACTTGGAGAGATTTGGGAGAGATTTCACATACTTTGAGAGATTTGGGAGAGATCTAACCTTAGCCATTATTATCGTATAATCTCGTAACGCAAGGTTCGTGAACCCCGTTATGCTTCGTTAATGATCGTTTTAAGTCCCCGAAAGGGTCCTTAGTCGTGTTTTGATGCGTTTAACTCCCTTTTTAGGGTTTTTACATTGTTAACACATAGATTCTTCGAGACACTTGAATTTTTGACACACAAATGCACATTTTTATACATAGAATAACTTTTTAACATACAAGTACTAGTTAAGTTTGACCGGTTTGACTTGTTGACTTTGACTTGAATTTGGCGGTTGTCACATTATCCCCCCGTTAGAAGGAATTTCGTCCCGAAATTTTCATTTTGAGTGGGACTTCAAGGGTCGGGGAATAGATGTGGGTATTTTTGCTTCATTTGGTCCTCACGTTCCCAAGTAAACTCGGGTCCTCGCTTGGCGTTCCACCGGACCTTTACGATGGGAATGCGGCTTTGTTTCGTCGATTTGAGCTCTCGATCCATGATTTCAACAGGTTCCTCT